TGGTTTCATTGATCTTTTGGATTGTTTTTTTAGTTTCTATTTCGTTTATTTCTGCTTTGGTTTTTATTATTTCTTTTCTTCTACTGGTTTTGGGGTTTTTTTGTTGTTCTTTTTCTAGATCTTTGAGCTTCAAGATTAGGTTGTTTCTTTGAGTTCTTTCTTGTTTCTTGATGTGAGCCTCTATTGCTATATATTTTCCTCTTATTACTGCTTTTGCTGCAGCCCATATATTTAGGAAATTGGTATCCTCATTGTCATTAAATTCAAAGAATTTTTTAATTTCTTCTTTGATCTCATTAGTCCAGTGGTCTTCCAGTAGTGTGGGTTTCAATCTCCATGAGGTAGGAGAGTTCCTTGCCTTCTTTTTATGGTTTATTTCTAGTTTGATGCCTTCATGGTCAGAAAAGATGCTTGGTATGATTTCAATCTTGGTGTATCTGTTGATGTTTGTCTTGGGTCCCAGTATGTGATCAATCCTGGAGAATGATCCGTGTGCTCTTGAGAAAAATGTGTACTCAGATTTGTTTGGGTTTAGTGTTCTGTAGATGTCTGTTAAGCCCAAGCGCTCTAGACCCTTATTTAGAGCTTTAGTGTCTTTACTTATTTTTTGTCTCATTGATCTATCCATTGCTGATAGTGGTGTGTTGAAGTCTCCCACTACGTATGTTTTCTCTGATGTCTGTTTTCAAAGATGATAATAGTCGTCTGCTATATTTTGGTGCTCCTTTGTTTGGTGAATATATGTTAATGAGTGTTATTTCTTCTTGAAGTATTGTCCCCTTGATCATAATGTAGTGACTGTTGGGGTCTCTTTTTACCTTTTTGAGTTTGAAATCTGTTTTATCTGATATAAGTATAGCTGTTCCTGCTTTCTTTTTTGGTCCATTTGCTTGTAGGATTGTTTTCCATCCTTTAACTTTGAGTCGATTTTTATCTTTTGTAGCTAAATGCGTTTCCTGGAGACAGCAAAAGGTTGGGTTTTGTTTCTTAATCCAGCCTGCGACTCTGTGTCTTTTTATTGAAGAGTTTAGTCCATTTACATTTAGAGTTAATATTGATATGTTAGCATCTGTATTTGCCATTGTGTTTGTCTTTCCTTTGATTTTATTTATTTATTCTTTTTTTTTTTTTTTTTTTTTTTTTAAAGATTTATTTATTTTTATACAAGAACCGGGGTACAGACCAGATACACGGGAAGGTGAGAGGATTCACCAGAGACAGAGCGGGGACAGAACAGGCAGACTGACGAAATACACTGCTGAGGGGAGCAGCGGGTGAGTCAGGAGAGGTCTGCCGCGCCATGTGGGACCCTCACCCGCAGGCTGGGATCGAACCGGCACCGCCGAGGCTGCGGGCAGCTTCACAGAGCGGCGCTCAACCACCTGCGCCACCAGGGGAGGCCCTATTTATTTATTCTTTCAGTAACTTTTTTTGGCCTTCTTTCATTGTTATTTGTCCCTCTGAGGTTCTGGCTTTAGGACTCCTTGTAGTATTTTTTGGAGTGGGGGTTTAGTCGTAATGAAATTCTAGAGTTTTTGTTTGTCTGGGAAGGTCCTTATTCTTTCTTCATAGAGGAAGGAGAGCTTTGCAGGATAGAGTATTCTTGGTTGGCATCTGTTTTCTTGGAGTCTGTTAACTATGTCCCTCCACTCTCCCTAGGAGATTTTTAAATGATCTGCTTTTCTCCTCTCCCAGATCTCCCACTGGGACCTTGCTTGCCTCACATAATGAGAGCAAACAATAAAAGTGGGTTTGTGTGTTTTCATGTGTGCTGTGTGTGTCTGATATGGTGTCTGTGACCAAGAGCAGGTGGAGAGGAGAAATTCAGGGAAGTGGAGGGAACAGCCTGACCCCTACATCCATACTCTGTTTAACCTCTGCCCTGGATAGGCCTCCTGGGACCCGGGAAAGCTGCCAGAGAGGATCAGGGTGCTGGCCCCATGAGCTCACGACTGGCTGTCTGCCTGCAGCCTGCCCACTGCTCCTCAAAACTTGGCCACTCGTCTGGTCATGAAGTCATAGGCTATAGATGTTGCCAAGGGGAGACAGATGGGGCTGGTGCCAGCATTCCAGAATTTGGTGAAGTGGAAACTGCCATGGAGATAACATTTCCTTTCCCTGGGGATCTCCCAGGCACCCATTGCTACATTCCCTTGAGAAGTTCCAGGAATAAAATGAGCTAATTATTAGTTTTGCTCATAAAGTGACAGATGTCCACTCAGGACCTGGCCACTCCAATCCATGATATGCACGATGGAATATTATATGGCAAGGGAAAAGCCCAACCTGGAGGGAAGAGAGCAAAAAACACAGTAACCCTCAGACACGGTGTCCATGGAAAGAGGCTGACAGAATGGAGGAGTGGCTGAGTGGTTCTGTTGAGAGCACACTGGAAATAGGCGAACTCTTCCATGGTGACAGAGGTGGGAACAGCTAATTACCCAGGACTAAGGAGAGTGATGGGGCAGCTGCTGGATGTTCCTGGGTCTGGGAATATTTTGGAACCTCATCCAGGAAGTGGTCCCACAGGAAACATCCTTGTGAAATATTGAGCTGAATATCTAAGATTAGTCCATTTTGACTAATGTAAGTTACATCTCAAAAAAAAGTTAAAAAAAATAAAAGGCAAAATTTATGAAAAATAGTCTGGTGATTCTTTGAAAAGTTAAATATAAAATGACTGTGTGACCCAGACATTTGCTTCTGGGTATATTCCTACAACACTCAAAAACAGGTCCTCAAAACTTTGTACATGAATGTTCACAGCAGCACTATTTTCTCAATCACCAAAAAAGTGGAAATAGTCCAAATGTTCATCAGTGGAACAACAGAAGAACTTGTGGTCGTTTCACACAGGGGAGTATCACTCAGCCATGAAGTGGAGTGAAGCCCTGACACCCCACAACATGGATGAGCATGAGCCATGATGCCAAGCAAGAGACCAAGCACAAAGGGCCACACACTGCGTGATGCATTTACATGTGAGATATTGTGATGTAATAAATAAATATTTGTAGTGAATGTAATAAATAATAAAATTAATGTAATAAATATTTGTAATAAATAATATTTGATGTAATAAATATTTATGATAAATATTTGTCATAAAATAAATATTTTATGACAAGAGCTCATAAAAGCCTTGGGATTTCCCATGTGTTGAGAGTGATTGATAAAGGTGGCTTTTGTGACGTGAGTGGGGTGACTTCTGGAAGCACCTAAGGGTGGGGACCGGTTACCTGGAAAACCAATGATATGATTAGAGGGTTGGAGTTTCCAGTCCCATTCATGACGGCTGGAGAGGTGATCTGGAGATTAAATCAATCTCCAACGGTTAGTGAGTTAACCAACATGCCAATGTAATGAAGACTCCATAAAAACCCAGAACAGGGCCTCCCCGGTGGCGCAGCGGTTGAGCGCTGGGTTGCGAAGCTGCCCGTGGCCTCTGCAGCGCCAGTTCAATCCCCGGCTGCTCCCAGGCCACCGGAGGAGGGTCCCACATGGCGCACAGACCTCTCCTGCCGCCCGCTGCTCCCCTCAGCAGTGTACTTCGGTCCTTCTGCCTGCTCTGCTCCCTGCTCCGGCTCTGGTGAATTCTCTCACCCTCCAGCGCTTCTGACTGTACCCAGTGCTTGTATAAACAAGCAAAACAAACAAATAAATAAATAAACATGCCTCTATTAAAAAAAAAAAAAAAAAAAAAACAACCCAGAACAGAGGGTCTCCCTGGTGGCGCAGGGGTTAAAGGCAGCACTATCATTTATCGCCAGCCACTGCAGCACGGGTTCAAGCCCCAGTCAGGGAGGTGACCCACATGGTGCAGCAGACCTCTCCTATCTTGCCTGATGCTCCCCTTGGCAGTGCATTTCAGTGGATCTGCCTGTTCTGTTGTCTCTGGTGAGTCCTCTCACCCCCCCACCCCCGGCACCTCTGGGCTGCCCCCCAGTTCTTGTACGCATTTTTTTAAAGAATCTTAAAAAAAAAAAAAAACACCTCAGGACAGAATTTGGAAGAAAGCTGGCTTGGTGAATGCAAGGAGATGTGCAGAGATCATGTGCTCTGCCTCGCTGGTGACTTGTATCCTTCAATAGCCTTTGTAATGAATCAGTAACCCAGCAAGTAAAAGTTTCCTGAATTCTGTGAGTTGCTTTAGCAAATTTTTGAACCTGGGGAGGGGACATGGACCTCCAAAATGCAGCTGGTGGGTCAGAAACAGATGACAACCTGGACTTGCAAGTGGCACCTCAAGGGAGAAGAGGGATAGTCTAACAGAACTGAGCCTTCGACTTGTGGTTGGGACTGAGCTGAATTGTAGGTGTTGGACAATTGTTGGCATGGGAAACCCCCCAACACTGGAAATTGGGTGCAGAATATTTATATGAAATGTCCAGAACAGGCAAATCCACAGGTAGAAAGCAGATCAGTGGTTGTCAGGGGTTCCGGGAGGCAGGTGGGACGTGAACGCTCAAGGGGTGGGGGTCTCCTTATGGGGTGATGAAATGTTCTGAAATTATATAGAGGTGATGGTTGCACAATGTTGTTGCACAACTTGCCCAAAGTTGCACTTTCTGGCTCTTTCTCCCCTGCTTCCTTTGTTTTTATCTTCAGCCTTTGATCCTAAGTAGAGAAGGCATCCCACCAGGGAAGAAATCCCGCCACCTTTAAAGTCTTGTTACGAAATTAGCAGGTAGTAATGAATCTTTAGGATCAAATCATTCTTCCCACTAGCCCTCTGAGCTGGGACAAAGTCTCCATTTCACAGAAGAGACTACTGGGCGCAGACAGGCTCCTGGAGCGGGGGAGTGTCCCCAGCTTCCACAGGAACACCCCCTCCGCAGTGCCTCTCAAAAACGCAGCTGAAGCCCCTACCAGCTGTGGTCCCTGCAGTGTTTACTCTGCACCCACGCAGCCGGGTCCAGGTAGGCGGGGCTGGACAAAGTCCTGGGACTATAAAGGCCTGTCCAGCAGAGCCGGGGTCAGTCCCTGCTCTGAGTGTAACGAGCACGCTCATGCCCGGGCAGGACCTGACACCGCCGCACCGCTCTCCAATGCTCACGACGCTGCTGGTGCTCTCCAGGCTCTGGGCTGGACATGCCCTCTCTCTGGCCCAGCAGCCACTCTCCGGCCTCCCAAGCTCTTCTGACTTGCCCTTCAGTCTGAATGTCTCTAGATTTCAGGAGCTGCGGAAGGGCTATGAACACCTGCAGAGCAGACTTCAGGAGAACCAGGACTGGGTAGACTGGAGCTCCGAGCTGGTCCCGGCCGCTCAAGTCAGGATACTCATCCCAAAGCGTAAGTGAAATCTGGGAGACCCTGGTTCCCCTAGGCTGCTCCCATCATGTACCCAGTGACTTTATCATAGAAGCCCAAGCCTGCCCCTGAGCCTCGGTTTCCCCATCTGTGACCCTAGCAAGAAAGCCCCCCTTCCGTGGTGATGGGGGAACTTGCAGCCAGTTTGTGTCATAGGCACCAGGCCAGGCTAAGCCAGCCTGAGGTGGTACAGACCCTCTCCAGGGGCCAGTGCAGAAGCAGGTTCTGAGATGCCAGCGATTCTCTTGAAGGCTCACAGAGCCTAGAGGACCCAGAGACAAGATCTGGCAGAAGGACAGGTCCTTGCTCCGGGATGTAGGGGTCTGTGTTTGGGGGGGCTAACCAGGAGGACAGTAGAGGGGGAAAGGGAGGAAGGAGGCGGGGACAGGGCTGTGTGCTGCGCAGAGCCTGCCCCGCGGCTGGTTCCGAATCTGATGCAATCGAGCGCTAAGATTCCGCTCCAGTCCCACCAGGCGGTTGTCTTAGGGAGGGGAATGTTTTCGTGTCCACCTTTCAGGCTACAGGGGTAGGCACGGGTGTGTGTCGGGGGGTGGGGGTTGGTGGTGGTGGTGGTGAAGAGCTGGGCTTCACAGGGAACGGGGAGGGGCTGGGGAAGGGTGTCTGACCAGAAGGGAGCCCTCTTAGCCTGTCTAACCCCGATTTTGCTGTGACACTCCCAGCCTGGGGACTGCATTGAGGGCACTCAAGCCCCTGTTCCCCCAACACCTATACCAGCCTGGGGGCTGGGGGCGGGGGGTGGGTAGTCTAAGAACCTAGGAAGCCTGGCCTTCTTCATTTCTCATATGGAAATGGAGACTCTGAGATTTGAAGACAGAGTAACTGGCTGCTGTAGCCCGTGGCACTGAGTAGGCTTGATTTTTTTTTTTTAAAGATTTATTTATTTATGCATACAAGAACTGGGGTACAGGCCAGAGGTGGGGGGGGGTGAGAGGATTCACCAGAGACAGAGTGGGGAGCAGAACAGGCAGACAGACTGAAATACACTGCTGAGGGTAGCAGGGGGTGAGACAGGAGAGGTCTGCTGTGCCATGTGGGTCACCTCCCTGGCTGGGGATTGAACCCGTGCTGCAGTAGCTGGGGATTGCTTCATATAGTGCTGATACTTAACCCGTTGCACCACCAGGAAGGCCCTGAGTAGGCTTTCAGTAAGAGGTTTTTGACTGCCAGTGGAGGCAGAGCCAGCATTGAAACCCCAGTCTTTCTAAATATCGGATCTACACTCATTCCTGCAAACATTTACTAAGCATCTACTGTGTGCTATGCAGGCTGGGAAAATGTGCGGCCGGCCATGTTGAGATTTAGGGAAGCGTGTGCCTGCTAGGGTGAGCAGCATGTGCAAAGGCCCCGGAGAGGAAATGGGTGCCTCTTCCCCCAGCCCACGAAGTGACTGGCTCTCCTCTCTCTCCCCTCCATCCCCTGCAGTACAACTTGGGCCAGGCAGCGACCTGCATCTGCGCATCCCCAAGGCCGCCTTGTCTGAGGGGTTCCCCAAAGCCTCCCGCCTGCATCGCGCCCTGTTCCGACTGTCCCCGACGGCGCCTAATTCATGGGACGTGACGCGTCCACTGCGGCGTCAGCTCAGCCTTGGCAAGGTGCCCACACTCCGTCTGCGATCTTCTCGGCTAGCCGCCCAGGGGCGGGTGATGGCGTCTTCTGCACAGCCCCAGTTGGAGCTGCAGTGGCTGACAGCCGCCGCCAGGGAGCGCCGCAGCGCGTACGCGCGAACCTCGGACGGCTGCCCGCTCGGGGAGGGGCGCTGCTGCGGCCTGCGGAGCCTGCGCGCGTCGCTGAAGGACCTGGGCTGGGCCGAATGGGTGATGGCGCCCCGCGAGGTGGACGTGCGCATCTGCGTCGGCGCCTGCCCCAGCCAGTTCCGCTCAGCCAACATGCACGCGCAGATGCAGGCGCGTCTTCACCGCCTGAACCCCGAGGCCGCGCCCGCGCCCTGCTGCGTGCCCGCCAGCTACGAGCCGGTGGTGCTTATGCACCGGGATAGCGACGGCCGCGTGGCGCTCACGCCCTACGACGACCTCGTTGCCAAGGACTGCCACTGCGCTTGAGGCCCCTCAGCCGTCCCTCATGGGTGTGTGCAGAGAGGTCACCTCATTCTCCTGTGCGTGCAGAATGGGCTCTTAGAAACTGAATACCCGATCCATAACCACTCCTGCCCCAAACTCTGTATTTATAGGTTTGTATTTATTATTAATTTATTGGGGTGGTATGCCTGGGAACTGGAGGACTGAGGAAAAGGCTGGTCTGATGATGCGCATTTACTTAAAACTCTGGGAATAAAAATGAAACTGCTTAACCCAGTCCCTGTGGTGTCCAGGACGGGGCGTGACCTTGGGACGAACCCTCACTTCCTTGGTCAGGGTTCCCTTTGGAAACGTGGAATGGGATGAGTGGAGGGGTCGGGAATGGGTGTTGGGCGTTCTTGTGTTGCTCTGCAATGGAATGACCCTCCTGACACCAGTGGGTCTGAAGGGCAGCCTGGGATATCTCTCTCTGAGCGTCTCTAGCTCTGTTTCTTAGACCCTCTGGATCTCGGTCTCCACCTGTCTCATCTCTGTTCTCTTGTTTCTGGCACTGTCTGTGTCACCAACCTGTTGTCTCCCAGCACTGGAGTTACCTTTCCAAACACAGGCAACCCAGAGCTATACATGTCTGCAATCAAGCACACTGTGTATGATGCTGCCCCCAAACTAGAAGAGTTGGGCCTTCCCGGTGGCGCAGCGGTTGAGTGCGGGGCTGCGAAGCTGCCCGCAGCCTCTGCAGCGCGGGTTCGCTTCCCGGCCCCCCGGGGAGGGTCCCACATGACGCGCAGACCTCTCCTGCTGTGCCCACTGCTCCCCTCAGCAGTGTATTTCGTTGGTCTGTCTGTTCTGTTCCCTGCTCTGGCTCTGGTGAATCCTCTCACCCTCCCGTGCTTCTGACTGTACCCAGTGCTTGTATAAATAAATAAATTAAAAAAAAAAAACAACCAAACTAGAAGAGTTGCATCACCCCGCCTGTTTGTGGCACTTCTCTTCTTGTTAATGATGCCTCCCCCTTTCATATAGGGAGAGCAGGGAGAAAATAAGTCGTGTAGAACATTTTTTATGCACACATCACCCAAGTTATATATTCTTCCTTTAATCATCTTGGAATCACTGAGATGAGCCACATCCAGCCCCCTCCCCACACCCACTCGCCTGTCCCCCCTTGAAAACTGTCATGGGGGTCTGGAGTAGCTCTTTCCAGTGTCAAGTGAGGTATCCCTTGTGAATGCTGCCACCCAGAGGCAGACCAGAATGGCTGCAGGTGTCCTTGAATGTGTTCAGTGATGCCTGCTCTGTGCCATGCCCTGAGTGAGCACTGAACAGAAGTAACAGGACAGGCAAAACCCACCCAACTAGCGCTCCATTAAATGAGGAAGACAATACAGAGATAAATTATAAGAAAGTGGTCCATTGCCGTAAGAATTGTGCCATGGAGCCACCACAGGCAGTGTATTATGAATTAATGAATGGTAGATGGGGGTAATGAGGAGAGGATGTCTAAACTGAGACCTGGAGAAAGAAAAAACTAGGGGGAGAGTTGGGGGATGGATATTTGAGGCAGAAGAAACAGCAGGTGAAAGACACTGAAGTAGGAATGAGCAAAGCTGAGGTGGGGGGTGGCCCCCAACAAATCTCATGGATGTTGGTAGCAGTGCAGGTCTACTGCAAAAGCGCTGGGAAGGCCTGAAGGGAGTGGACACTGTAGAGGGCTAGTCTGATTTATGCTGAGAGGACAGAGGACTTGGGCAGGAGCTGGAGCAGCATGCAGGGTGCAGATATGGGGGTGCAAGGCAGATGAAGATTCTTGTAGGTCCACTGATCTGTTCCAGATCACTCCCAAGTGTTAGGGACCAAAGGATCTCTTAAACTCAATACTAGGGCCCCCCAAAGTTTGCAGATGCCCCACTGAGTCTCATCCCTCAACATCAGCTGTTGCCTTTGCTGGAAACTGCTGCTTTGTGCCTTTCACTTCTCCAGGCTGGTTCTTGCTGGCCTGATCCCCCTGCCCTCTCCTCAACTACATATGCAGCCTTCAAAACCCACTGCATATTTCCCTCCTACATGAGGCCATTTTCAAACTCCTTCAGTTGTCTCCCTCTGAGAACCCCGGCTCCATCCTTTCCTCCAGCATAGGTTTGACCTCCCAGGATTGGGAAGTGTCTGTGTCCAGCTCTGCCTCCCCTACATTGGGGACTTGGCAGGAGCTGAGCTGGGATCAGCTGATGGAAAACCTAGCTGAAGCATAAGCTTGAACAAACTCTTGAAATACACTGAGCTCTGAGAACTTGGCTCTCAGAATGAACGGATAACTTGGCTAAAATAGCCTTAGATGCAGCAGACCTCTCCTGTCTAGTCCGCTGCTCCCCTCAGCAGTGTACTTCAGTCAGTCTGCTTGTTCTGTTCCCCACTCTGTCTCTGGTGAATCCTCTCAACCCCTGCCCCTCCCCCCCCCGCATCTCTAGCCTACACCCCAGTTCTTCTATGCAAAATTTTTTTAAAAGATTTATTTATTTATGCATACAAGAGCTAGGGTACAGGCCAGAGTTGTTGGGGGGAGATGGGGTGAGAGGATTCACCAGAGACAGAGTGGGGAGCAGAACAAGCAGACTGACCGAAGTACACTGCTGAGGGGAGCAGCGGACGAGATAGTAGAGGTCTGCTGCACCATGTGGTTAGCTCCCTGGTCAGCCGGGGATCAAACTTGTGCTGCAGAGTCTGTGGCTCGCTTCACATTGTGGTGCTTAACCCCTTGCGCCACCAGGGAGGCTCTGCAAAAATTTTTTTTTAATTCTTTTAAATAGCCTTAAAGACCAATTCTAATCATCCTATTTAGTAGATGGGGTAACTGAGGCCCAGTTATTGCTGAAGTTAGGACTGTCACCCATGCTTCCTGAGAATGGCATGGGCAAAGGCAGACAATGAAAACTTTAGTAAAGCATGGCAAGCGGGCAAGAGGCTCAGATCAGAAGGGCAGATGGATGGAAGAGGTCATGAGTAGCAAGGCTGGACCTTGAGGGCTGAGGCTCTGGGAGCAATGGGGAGCCATGTGAGCAGGGAAGAGATACGGATTAATGAATTATAAAGTCTTCCAGGGCTGTCATGGGCTGCCCTAGGGGCTGAGCCTAGATAATAAGGGTCTAGGGGGACCCTGTGAGGAACAGATGGGAGGACAAGAGTGGGGAGCAAATTTGGGTGTCTCAGAGTGCTGGTCTCGGGAGCTCAGGAGTCTCTCCTAGAGCCAGCAGCCCAGCAGCCCCTTGCTTTTATTTACTGAGAGCCATTTGCACACAACCAGGAGGTTGATGACAGGGTCCCCACATCAACCCTCCTGTCCTTGTTTTAGGGCCTTTCCTGCTCCCCTTCTCACAGCCAGGGAACTGAGGAGGGGTCTCCCTGGGGCCTCAAAGGCGGCCCTTGATTGCACCATTCCTCAGATGGGGCGATGAGGCCAAGGAAGAGTCGGTCTGCCCCAGACCACCCGGAAGGCAGCAGACTCACTGCCCAGGCATCACGTACTCCTCTTCATCCAGGGAGGACAGGTCCAGCCGAGTCCGGCCCCGTGGGGCCTGAGCCAGAGCTTGCACATTGCAATAGACTGGCTGGGCGTCCTGCTCGCCACCCTCGTAGTTCATGTAGAAGTCACTGTCCTCTGAAGTGTGGGGCCTGTAGGGACAGATAGATGTGATGGGGAGGACTTAGGGGCCCCTCGGGACAGCTTCAAGAGACAGAGACAATTTTAGGCAGTTTAGTTCATGCCTAATATTTACAGAGGAGGGAAGTGAGGCATGAGCCAGCCCAGTCCAACTGTTTCTGAAGAAAGGAAGTAGAGGCCCATGATTTAGGGGAGACTCTGTGGGTTCAGCATTATATTATGCTACGGTCCAAAAGCCTTGAGCCCATGGTAGGGTTTTTTCCTTTCTTAGAGTTGATATAGTTGCTCATTTTTTTACATTAAAATTTAGACCTCTGTTTGCTCTTTAAAATCAGCAGCTCTGGTCACACCAATCACGTGGACACAAGTGGCTGGAGTCAAACCGAACCTGCCCCTTTAGATGGGAAATGTTTTTGCCACATCCCCGAAGCAACTGACTTTGTAACCTTGGTCTACAAAGGAGATAATTTCTTAGGAATGTCATAACTATGGCAGGCAAGACCCCAAAAGAAGAACTGCCTGCCCCTAGACTATCCTAACCTTCCCCCTCCTCTTATAACAAGGGTCTCTATGGGTAGTTGCTGTCTATCAGTCATTCACAATTTAGTATGAATAACTGATCACATAGATGGTTGCTTAGGGATGGAAAGGGCTGTAATCAAAGTTTATATGCTGCCTCTACTTCTCACTCACTGTGCGAGCATGGAAAGTCATTCCCTTTCCTCCCAGACCCTCCCTTTGTGCAACAGTAAAACAGATGGTATGGGAACAACACAATCAATTTTAAATCATATTTTTTGGAGGAGACTGGCCCTGAGGACTTGGTGACGGTGAGGTTGAGGCAAATGTCAGAATACCAGCTGCCTCTGTGAGCCTAGTGCCTTCAGCTCCCTGCCACAGACCACTTCTGCTTTTGAATCTTATTTGCGTCTTCTTTGCATATTCTCTCATTTCTCGCCAACAGCATTTCCCACTGGCTTCCCCACCTTGTGGATTCTGATTGCCAAACCCAGCCATGATGCGGTTCCCCTCCAGCTTGGATCCTCCCAGACTCCTCCAGCCTCATCTCCAAGTCTTGCCTTCTCAAGCCCCTTTCACAGCTTTCTCTGTTCCCTTCTACCTCTCAGCCTTCACCGCACCCCCCACTCTGTCCCCCACTGGTGCCACCTCCTGAAATTCCCTCCAGTCTCTCATCCAATCTGAAAAAGCTGAACCCATCTAGAAGTGTCAGGGCTTCATGAGGAAAGAGGGACACAATGGCCTACTTAGCCTCTCCTGTGTGTCAAGGGGAGATGGAGTAGAGGGCTGTCCCCATTTTACTGGGACAGAAACAGAAATTCCGAGTCCCAGGTCACAGGAGATCTGAACCCAGGCTGCTGACCACCACCACGGAGCCCCAGCTCTGTCTTGAGAGGGAAGCTGGTCCCATATGCAGGAACTCACTTAATTCTAATCCCAATCCCTCGAGGTGGGGTATATTATCACCGTTTTACAGATGAGGAAACTGAGGCCCATAGAAGTAAAACTACTTGCCCAAGATCACCCAGCTTGCAAAAGGCAGAGATTTGAACCCTAGTCTTCTAGCTCCTGAGTTTTGCAGGCTAATGTGTCACTCACTCACCTGTGTCCAGCCCATGGTTGGTGCCTGGCAGTTGGCTCACCCTGGAACATATTCTCATAGTCAGGCGAGGAGGGGCTGGGCAGAGTGGCAGCTGGAGGCTTCGGACTAATTGCCCGGTTACTATACCGAGGCTGCCGATTCAAGCCAGGCTTGTGACCATCCTGAGCAGTCCATGATTTGCCCTGGACTGGATTACTAGATGCCCGGCGCCTCCGAAGTCTCCAGACTAACACCGGGCCAGCAATGGCAAGCACAAGGAGCAGGCTTCCACTGGCCGCCAGTGACCCAATGGCCATCCCACTCAGGCCAGAGGGGCAATGGAAAGTGGAGAAATTGTGCCAGGTGTTGCCTATCCTGTCCAGGCACTCCAGGTAGTCAGAGCAGTTGTCTTGCCTGTCCTTGTACCAGGATTTTAGGTCACACCTGCAGTCGGCCTGCAGTTTAAGGTCACAGTATGTGGCCAGCTCACGGTCCACGTCTTCCAGTGGGTTGTTTGTCACATTCAGGAACTTCAGCTCATTCAGCTCTTTGAAGAAGGACCACGGGAGTTTTTGAAGGCCATTCCCAGACAGGTCCAGGAGCTTCAAGTTTCTGGCCTGCAGAGACTGGTTCAGGGGCAGGCTCAGTCCTCCGCCACTGAAGTTCAGGCATGTGTCCGGGAACTCTTTGGTCCAGTCAGCCTCTAAGGACACATTGCAGGACAATCCCTGGCTGCCTGGATTCTGTAGCAGCAGCGGCAACAATAACACCCATGCCAGGGCGTCCCCCATTCAAGCACCTAGACAGAGACACCGGAATCCAAGCCTTGAACTCAGCCTGTGGTAACCCTTATCGCCTGGCTTTATTATTGGTTTTTTTAATAGCTCAGAGCAGCTTAGACCCTGGTTAAAATGGTAAAACTCAGCCCCTAGTTAACTAGTTTTTGCCCCAACCTCTGTCTCTCCCTCCAGGAATGGAAGACCAGAAGACCTCCCCACCCCCCCAACCCACCCTACCCCCCCAGCCCCCCCACCCCCCCCAACTCCCACCCCAATCAGCCCCTTCCCCTTGTGGCAAATGAACCCCTTTCAGCTCAGGGGTAATAACAAAGTGAAATCAAGGACTGAGTTGCCCACTGCCGTATCCCCCACCCCCATTTCGGGCACCCTCATTGGCCACTGGCTACGATAGGGCCAAATGCAATCGTTGCCCTGAAATGGCCCAGCTCTGCGGCTAGTTGTTTCCTCCTCCTATACCACAGCTGCTGGGAGCTCCCTGGCCCTGCCCTGGGGTGGGGTAGACACTGCAGGAGAGCACCCCCAGCTCTAGCCTGCAGTCCCTGCACAGACCCAAATTCTAGCGCCTCTGTCCTACCTTTCAGGTCTCACCAGCACCCTTTGCCTCGGCAGTGCTGAAAGACTCCAGTGCCCAGGGGCAGCGCCCGGGTCACTTGAATGGAAGCCAGAACCGCCGCTGGGCACACTCCACGGACCACCGTAGTCCCAGGCGGTCTTTGGGCTGTGCAACCTGAGACTCGCTCAGAGGGAAGAGGAACTGGTGTCCGGGCGGAGTGCAGAGGGGAAGAATGAAGACGAGACCCGCCCCCAGGCAAGGCCTCAAGGTCCGGGGTTCTCACGGGAGGGGGAGTGACGGCACAGGGTCCCACTTCCCTCTTGCCGAAACCCAATAAATACACGTACCCCGTAAACACCCCCAAGTGACAGTTACTTCATCACCTTGCTTCCTGATCTCGTTTCACTTGATTCTCAATGCATTCATCTGTTCACTCAACACACATTGCCCGTGCTGGGCCCCTGCGAGCCCTCAGCATTGGCAGGTTGGGGAGGAGCGTCCAGTCTTAGGAGAGGACAGAGCTGGACAATGACATCCCTCCAATCCCATGGAGCCAGGGCAGGGCGAGAGGGAGGGACAGGGGAAGGCTTCCTGGCAGCAGCGGCACTGGAATTGGGGTTTCTGTACCTGAGTAGGAGTTTGCCGAAGATTCCTAAAACCTGCCTTTGACTCTACCACACACTGGAAGATGGCATTCATGCACAGGGACACTGCCAGACTGGAGAGTGCTGTGGGGGGGACATTAAGTCTGGGGCTTGGAGGATGAGTCACAATCGTAGGCAGAAATGAAGGCATTGCACATTCTAGGCAGAAGGCGGGGTGGGGGGGGGAGCTGGCTGGGGTAGTCTGGGTAGGAGCGTGGTCAGGCTGGAGTGGAGGGAGGAGGAGATGGTGGCTGGGGGAAGTCACCTCTGACTCTAGGCTGAGTGAGGCTTTATTCTCAGGGCCATGGAGAGCCCAGGCAGGTGTGTGTGCGGGGGAAATCCCTCTGGAGTGTGTGCAAAAAAAAACCTCTGGAGTGGATCCCTTGGATCCAGAGGGAGAGGGGTTTCTGAGTCAGACCCGAGGGGGAATAATAAAGTGAAATCAAGGACTGAGTGAAGGAAGGGGTGGCTGGGTAAGGGGGTCAGTTGTGCTGGGGAACCGGCATCAGGGAGACCAGGCTGAAATCCATTCCCATCCCTGACTTACTGGGTCGCCTTAAGCACTCTGTGGCTCAGTTTCTGTGAAATGGATACAATTCTTCTCCTGGGCCCCGGGAGATTGGAGTCTGCTCCCCTCTCCTCAGTCTCTACCCCTCTCCACTGCCAAACTTGGAGGAATGGTTCAGAGAAGCTGCAAATTGTTCTTAACTTACCTCAACATACTTCTAATAAGAAACTACAAGTCATGACAACTCTGAGAAACTGTTTTGACCATTCAGTCTGGAAAAATTCAAAAGTGTGATGACACCTGGTACACCAGGTGTGGGGAAAAAAGCAAACCCCTTCCTAATCCCTCCACACACACACAGGCCATGGGTGTGTGAAGACATGTGCCCATTGACCCAGCAACCCCACTCCTAAGATTCCCCCACATATTTGCATGTTTGCAAAATGGCAGGTGTGAAGTGATAATAGATGAACATGACGTGGTCTGTCTACACAGAGGAGTATCACTCAGCCATGACAAGAAGTGAAGCCCTGACACACCACAACATGGATGAACCTGAAAACATGATGCCGAGTGAGAGACACAAAAGGCCACACAGTGTGTGATCCTTATATGAACAATCCAGAACAAGCAGATCCAGACAGAAGTCAGATGAGTGGTTGTCAGAGATTAAGGGACAAGATATAGAGTGACTATTCAAGGGGCGGTGGTCTTCCTTTGGGTTCATGGAATGTTCCGGAACTAGATAGAGGGTTTAGCTACACAATATATATATATATATATATATATATATATATATATATATATATATATACTCACACTGAAAACTGAATTAGACCTCTCCTATCTCGCCCACTGCTCCCCTCAACAGTGTATTTCAGTCAGTCTGCCTGTTCTGTTCCCCACTCTGTCTCTGGTGCATCCTCTCAGCAACCCCCCCACCCCGCACCTCTGGCCTGCACCCTAGTTCTTGTATGCATAAATAAATAAATAAATCTTTAAAAAAATAAAAACTGCTGAATTGTTCACTTTAAAATGGTAAATTGTGTGTTAAGTTTATTTTGCACAGTAAAAGAGAAAGAAGGCAAAGGATGACATGACTACAAGATGATTGGTTGCAGCACTGTCTGTTATTCAGTGGGGAGAAACTGGAAAGAACCGAAGGGATTGGTTAGTTCAATAACAGCTCATCCATCCTGGGAGGTCCCAAAGAGTCAAAGAAATGAAATTATAAATCTCTAAGAACCAATAAGGTAAGACCCATTCATTTCTCCACAAAGTTTTAGCAAATTCCTACTGTGTTGGGCCTCCGTGGTGTCACAGAGGTTAAAGTCTCAGCACTATCAAGCTAGTCACAGCCACTGCAGCAAGAGTTCGATCCCCAGCCAGGGAGGTGACCCAATGGCACTGTAGACCTCTCCCGTCTCACATGCTGCTCCCCTCAGCAGTGTATTTCAGTAGATCTACCTGTTATGTTCCCTACTCTGTCTCTGGTGAATCCTCTCACCACCCCCCACCCCTGCAACTCTGGCCTACACCCCAGTTCTTATATGCATATATAAATAAAAAATAAATCTTTTTAAAAAATTCCTATTGTGTGGGCAAAATAGACAAAATCCCTGCCCTGTGGGGTTCTTGTAGCAGCCGAGGAGGTAAGCTACATGCAAGATCCATCAAGAAATACATATATTCCGGGGCTTCCCTGGTGGCACAAGGGGTTAAGATGCTGCACTATGAAGCTATCCATAGCAGCACGGGAAGCTGGGAAGTGACCCACGTGGCGCAGCAGACCTCTCCTGTCTCGCCTGCTGCTCCCCTCAGCAGTGTATTTCAGTCAGTCTGCCTGTTCTGCTCCCCACTCTGTCTCTGGTGAATCCTCTCACCCCACACACCTCTGGCCTGTACCCCAGCTCTTGTACGCATAAATAAATCTTAAAAAAAAAAAAGAAATATGTATATTTGGTGTTGAGGACTAACACAGAAAAAGATAAAGGTGGGAAGCAAGTAGGGAGGGCAGCAATGTTTTAAAAGGACTTTGAAAGGAGCCCTTATTTAGCAGGATAAGGTTTATTGAGCAAGGGGATGGGCCTCCAGGTGATGGACCTCTCCTGCAGAGGCCCTGACGTAGGAACAGCCTTGAGTGAAAATGGTAAGTGGAAAAAAGCAAGAAAAATTTCCTTTGGGTAAAACACAAAAACAAATAGCCATGGTTACCTCTTGGTGGCAGGCAGATGGGAGAATCTCACCATGTACTTTGTTATAGTTTGTATTTCAAGATCTTATCAGATAGAGTGGATGTAAATCACAGTTTAGTTAAAACACAAAAATCAGCCGTGAACACGTAAGACAGTGAGCTTTCAAGATGCAGAGAGGGAAGGAGGGGGTGCCAGCGCGTGTGGGCCTGGGCCTGGGTACAGGTGAGGTCCCAGGCCCAAGGCCATGGGAGTGGCCAAGGCCTCTTAGAAAAGGAGGAAATGAGGAAAGAGGAAGCGGCAGGCACAGGCGCCCCGGGGAGAAGTGGGGTTGGGGAAGGAGGGCAAAGGCCAGCTGGGGGCCTGGGATAGGGGTTTTGGAGATGAATCTGAGGAGGCATGGAACCTAGGATCTGGAGCATTGGGATGAGCCTGGAGTTCTGGAGATCTAGGTCCTGGAGTCCCGGGGTCTCAGGAGGGTCACACACATGCTCATGGCCACACACAGTGCCAGGTACATGCTCACGGCCACATCTGTCTCCCTGCCCTCACACCCTCCCTCTTGGTGGTTTTCACTGTCCTTTTACAGAAGAAGCAGCACAGAGAGATCAAGGGCATGATCTGGGGTCGGAGTCATGAATTGACTGGTTGAGTGTCCCATGGTGGGACCAGGATAGCTATACGGTGGTCTCATGATGCCCCCCAATTGCATTCAGAAAGTAAAACTTTGTTTACTCTTTAGAAATAACTACTTGAGGTCAGATGGTGAGTGACAATATATTTTAAGAAACCTCTAAACATCTTTGGAGGGGATAGTGTGAAAATAAAGTGTGACAGAGGCAGAGCAGCGTCAGCAAGCACAGCCTAGCTGTCACACCCACATTTCTTTGCTGAGGGGCCCTGACCACTGGGCCCTCCTGGGAGCAGCATGGACCACAGACCAAAGGAGAACTGCTGATGAAGGGCTCCGCTCCCTCCTCCCCTGGCCCCACCTTTGGGAGGGCCCTCTGAACCCAGCCAGAGCTGGCCATGGGGCTGCTCTTTGGCACCTCTGGCTCCCTGGAATGACCTCCCAAATAATCACACTCTTGAACTCCATTCTTAGGGGTTGTTTCTTGGGACCCTAAATGAAGATAAGTAGAGTGATATAAAGGAATAGTACACAGCTTCTCAATTTTAAAAACATTTAAAAATAATCCCAGTCATGAGTTGTCTTGCAGCAGGGACAAGTTCTGAGAAATGCGTCATCAGGCAGCTTCCTTTTGTGAACACTGCAGAACCATGACAGACCCAGATGGCAGGGCCTCCCTGGTAGCCTAGGGGTTAAGTCACAGCATTATTACCACTATGGCCTGAGTTCCATCCCCTGCCAGGTAGCTAACCCACCTTCACCCCACTTCTTCTATGCAAAAAAAAAAAAAAAAAAAAAAATCACCACCACCCAGATGGCACAGCCACTGTACCTCAAGCTGGATGGCAGAGCCAATCAGGACCACTGATACTTGTGGGATCCCTGTTGACTGGGCTGTCCCTGAAGTGATATATAATAGCAGCAGCCAGGCACCACCTCCTTCATTAATATGATGTGAGATAATCTGCAACTTGAGATCTGAACTGTGGCTATGGCCATTTTACAGACAAGGAATACTGAGGAATGGTGTGTTTGAGCTGCTAGCTCTCCCAAAGGAGAAACACAGAAAAAAAATCATCCAGAACTCCTACACCAAACACACACACACACAAAAAAAAAACCAAAAAACTTTGTTCCCATTTTGAGCTATTACACATCTTTTTTCCTCTTCCCTACCCCCCTTTTTTTTCTGAGAGGCCTACGTTGACTACTTCTTTTCAAACTGTGAATCTTTCCA